TTCTCAACCAACTCATCTTTGACGAAGCCTCCACCACCTACCACTGGGGAGAGGAGAACCTATTCAGTAAATGGTGCTGGGAAAACTGGCTGACCACATGCAGAAGATTGAAACAGGACCCCTATCTATCCCCATGCACAAAGGTTAATTCCAAAAGGATCAGAGACCTAAATGTAAAACCTCAAACTATAAGAACCTTAGAAAATGAAGGAAAAACCCTCATGGAAATTGGAACTGGCATCCAATTCCTGAACAAAACCCAAAACCCACAGCTCATAAGAGAGAAAATAGATAAGTGGAATCTTATTAAACTGACAAGCTTCTGCAAAGCCAAAGAAACCATCAAGAGAGCAAGGAGACAGCCTACAGACTGGGAAAAAGTATTTGCCAACTCCAGGTCTGACAAAGGCTTAACATCCTGGATCTACAAGGAACTCAAACGTGCTAAAAAGAAAAAAACAAACAACCCCATTATAAAATGGGCAAAAGATATGAACAGACACTTCACAAAAGAAGACATCCGAGCAGCCAACAAACACATGAAGAAATGCTCAACCTCACTAATCATAAGGGAGATGCAAACCAAAACCACACTGAGATACCACCTAACCCCAGTCAGAATGGCAATCATCAACAACTCAAAAAATAACAGCTGCTGGAGAGGGTGTGGTGAAAAGGGAACACTGCTACACTGTTGGTGGGAGTGTAAACTAGTGCAACCTCTGTGGAAAGCAGTGTGGTGATTCTTAAAAGCTCTAAATACCAACCTCCCATATGACCCCACAATCCCCCTACTGGGAATATATCCTGAAGAAATCAAATCACTCTATAAAAAAGATACCTGCACACGCATGTTTATCGCAGCATTATTCACAATAGCAAGAACCTGGAAACAGCCATGCTGCCCGTCAAAAGAGGACTGGATTAAAAAAAATGTGGTACATATACACGATGGAATACTACGCAGCCATAAAAAAGAACAAAATCATGAATTTCGCAGCAACCTGGATGGAACTAGAGTCTATAATACTGAGTGACCTCTCACAGAAACAAAGATCCGAGTATCACATGTTCTCACTCATATAATGAACCTTAAACATCCAATGCAATACTATACGAAAATGACTGACTGTACTGGGAAACTATGGTGGGGGGAGGGAGATGGGATTAACAGTAGCAAATATCTGTCTGGGAACGGGGAAACACCCCATATCAACAGGGTGCCTGAATGAAATGTAATTGTATACCTAACCCTTAACTGTACCCCACAACTTCACAATTAAAAAAAAAAAAGATATGTGGCGAATAAAAAACATCATTATTGATAATAATGATTTTTAAAAGAACGGTTTAATACAAGAAAGTCTCCTTCTAACTGTAAACAACCCCTGGGGAAGGTAGCATGGGCATCATCATTCCTACTGGTCATGCCCATGCTATTACTTTCACACATCATGATAAAGCGTTGCTTAGCTCTTAGACTGAGACGGACACAAGCCAGGATGATAAACAGTGAGAGGAAATGAACCAATATCAATTTAATAGATCTGTTCAAAGTGCAAAACTCCATAAAGGCTTTATTATCAAAAGAGAGCCTAAAGTACTTGATCTCAGCATAGATTTCAAGAATGACTCACCTAGTATCACTCCTCCAAAGGGAGTCTTTTCTGGGGATTTAGTTGAAGCCTTGTGGGTAACATTCTGAATCACTGTTAAAATATAAAAAAAAGACAATAGTGTGATGAGGATTTAAAAAAAAAGGAAGATAACAATGTGAAGTCATCAATATTGGGAAAGCCCTGATCTAACTTTATCAATTAACAGACAGCAACTCAGTGGGTTATCTCTGCATCCAGCAGAAGAATTGGAAGGTACATCTTACCTTAACATCTCTGCCTTTAAGTAATGAAAGGTTTTTTATTTTAAAGTGTTGTTTTAATTATCAGAAATTTAATTTCTTTAATTCTTAAATTTAATTTGATTTCTGTTTAATTATCAGAAATTTAATTATCTTCCTATCTCCAACTCCCTGCAACCTGCCCATTCCCCAAATCAATCAGAACTAGCACAAAATGAGGCAACGACCGAGCAATAAAAAATTAGAAAACATAGATACTCAAAGCAAAGAACCTTTGAGTAGTATCAATGTTAACTGATCCTGCTTTAAGAGTACACTTGGGACATGTGTTTTCTTAAAATGAAGAACAATTTTAAGAATGCAAATTCTACCAAGAAACTTTCTGAAAATAATGGAGTCATTTTAATAATTTAAAAAACCAGAAGCCAAAACAATAACAACTGGATAATGAAAAAAAAAGACATTATAATTTTTGAAACCTGGAAATTTTTACTTTCCCTAAAGTGACTATTAAATCACATTTTAATTAATGCAAAATATCCTATTAATGATCTTTTCATGTATGTTAACTTAATTCTGAGTGAAGCTCCACACATTAATTCACCTTTTAAAATTTAATTCTTCTTATGATTATTTTGTCCCGAGTTATCTGACCAGTGTGATTAGCCCAAGGTTTGGCATGTTAGTAGAATAAGAGCAAAAATTATTTATTAACTTCTAATTTACTAAATCATGCTATTTTCTTCTAACTTTTTGTGAAAAACAAAAATCAAAAAATCAAGACCATAAGTGCTCAATTTAATTATATTAGCCAAAAAAGTATATTGCACTTGTTTTAAATGCATATCCGGAGCAGACAGATTACCTTGCTTGATGATTGTTATTGGAATAAGCTTCCTTGGGACATATGCTGGCTAAAAAGAGAACGAGAATGTCAGTTTTTGAGTCAGTGTGAATAACGTTTTTTAAAAAACAAATTAGAGAATCAGGGAAGTAGCCTTTTCTTGTCTTCAATGAAGTCTACCATGACACTGACTTGATAGTTGTTAGATCTTGAGTACACACATCTACCTCTATTTTATAGGACTCACTTGGTTTCCCTCATAAACATCCAAAAACAGTGTGACAGAACCAATTCAGAACTCCCATCAGTTCAGTTTACATAGAAAACTGCAATGGGAAGAAACAAAATCCTCTATATTGAATATTAGTTTATTTTCATTACATTTGAGATGTGACCCAATCAAATTCTGTCTTCACATTCTCTCGCAAAAGAAACTGCTGAGCTACATATTATCTTTTAAAACCAATCAGAATAAATGGGCATGTACCCAATTGCTGTTGCTGTTACTACAGAGACCACAACTACCATGGGCTCCTTACTGCCCAAGAAGGTGGAGCCAGAACTTAGATCCAGACTCTTCTTACTCCAAAGCCTGTACTCTTAACCATTAAGCACGTGTGTATACATAAAGGACCTCAGAATGAGGACACGTCCCAGAGGACTATGCTTCCTCTCCTCACTCAATTGCTTTCAGTATTCCCACAGGTTTTGATGTTATAGAGTAGCTTGAACAAGGGATGAGTTCAAGGATATACATTTGCACCCACAATATAACCCAATTTTATAACAAATATGTACAGAAAAAAGACCAAAAGGAAGGACATCATCTTTTTTGACAGTAGTTATTTCTTATAAGCTGATGCTAATTTATTTTGTAGACCTTTCTATATTTGCCAAATTTCTTATAAGGGCAAATTACATTTATAATCAAGAAAAGCTATGCTAATTGACAGCGTGTTTAGCTGTCACATATGTTTCTGTGCTGCAACGCAGCTCATATACTATTCGTAAATAGGGGAACGATGAAACCATGATTTAGATGTGATTTTTCCCAGGCACGGGGATAGGACTAGTAGGAATGGAAGATTAACCTTCAGCAATGAAAAACAAAAACTCTTGGCTTTGAGGTTGTACTAGCCGGAGGACCCCTTCAGGTTTATCATGAAAAATTCAATATGAGCACTTGCACATGGATGCTACCCCAGAGGAGACAGTTAGGCCTGACCTCAGCACACCTCACTTGCTCACATGCTCATTTAACAGCAGCCCCATCGCCCCACTCATGGGTACTCTCTAGTTCTCACTGTTCTGCTCTAGCCAAAGGGTTGCTAGCCATCAACCTCCACTACTTCTGAGAATTTTGTTTAGGTTAAAACGATAAGTTTTATTTTTTGTCTTTCATCTTTATTTTTATTTCTTTTCTTTTTTTTTTTTTTTACAAGTGTATGTATGGGGTACAATGTGCTGTTTTGATGAAAATGCACAGTATGGGATGATTAAATCAAACTAATTACCATATCTATCACCTCATCCATCATTTTTTTGTGATGAGAACCTTGAAATTTATTCTCAGCAATTTTGAACTATACATTATGAGTAAGTATGGTCATCCTGCTATGCAAAAACTTATTCCTCCTGCCCATCTGAAACTTTGTAATCTTTGGCCAATATCTTCTCATTTCCTCTCCTTCCCCTACCTCCCCCCTCCAGATAACCACCTTTCCTCGCTCTACTTCTGTAAGTTTGACACTTTAGAGAATTTTAAATGCCTGGGGTGGCAACTTCCGGCTACATGAGATAACTCCCAGCAGGAGAGACACATTATTTTTCTAGGTACCAATAATCATTTTTGAGAGGGCTGTGGCAATAGTTACAAAGGTTTTTGAATGGTCTGTACTTTATTTTTCCTACAAGTCCTGTCATTTAGTGTACATTTTGCAAAATATGAAGTAATTCAGAGACACTTTAACACATTATAACAGAAATGCCCACATGTTGATTGCCTTTGAATTGCTTTATACCATTTTATTTTTGCTGTAATAATTTGTTTTAAAATGTTTGCACAAGGACAAATGGAAAACATTCTTCATGAATGGAACACAATTTCTGTTCTGAGTTCTTATTCAAGTACAGAACAATGTTCTGTTAAGATAACAACAAAAATATATGTATGTGTTGCCAAAAATAAGGAAGTCATTTAGTCACAGAATACAATTATTTCTTGACCTATAACTGCGGTCTTGTCTAATGCACAATCCAAAGGTACTCCCAGACTGGACTAATATGTCTATAGGTAGAATTTTAAAGGGCATCAGGAAAGTCTTGCTACTCAGTATGTCTCTGCCAAAAACTCTAAAGTTCCCATTCAGAAATTTAATATGTGAATCCTTCCCCTGTGTCTTCTAAAGTAGAAATGCTATCTGGACTGACTGAAAAATGAAATATTATGAAAATTTCCAAGATTAACCAAGTACAACCCAATTTCAATTGCACAGTGTTTTTTAAAAAAAGATACGATTGACCTTTCCTTACTGTTCTAGGCTTGTTATTATGAATATTTATTAATGTGTATCAAAGTCACAGCATATTTCCCTCCTGCCCTATAAAGAGATTTTTTTCCCCTTCATTTTGAGATATTCTGTCCCTAAGAATTCAGGCTGGACTATACCTTGAGCAGGATGTCTGGTTAAGAGAATTCACTTTTATCATTTTTCTGGGACATTGTATGCAGTTAGTGACAATCAATGGGAGAGAACTGTAAGGTAGCAAGAGGCTATTTAATGTGCTTTTATGGCATGGCTAGGGAAACCCTATGCTGTTTAAAAATACCTAAGTAGCAGCCATACAGAACGAGGGACTTGCATTTCACCCCTGCACTATACTAACTTCCTTCTAATACGATGATGAACATCAGCTTTAATAAAATTAGTGATAACACAAGGATGTCATTTTTTTTGGAGCTTTGTCCATTTGACATTTTTGTGGTGTCAGAATATTCATTGTAGATTTTATTTTCAGGCTCCACACTCAAGAGGAGCTGTCCATTTGGCTAGTGGCTAAGGGTTGCTCAAAATTATATTTCAGTGACTCGAACCAAACCACATGAGAGCTTGGGCATATTAGATTCTGGTTTTAATTCATTTTAAGGATGTTCTAATGAAGGTTACAAAACATACTGATTCAATCAAACATCTGGCTAAAAGTGAGTCTAATGTCCTACTTTTGAAAGTCTTCAAGTTTCTGATCAACTGGGAAGGAAAATACCTTTAATGATACAGTTGGTCTACAGATACATGTTTTAAGCTTCTGTTTAAGACAAGGATTGCTGATCTATTTACTATACAATCTAAGAGTGTGGGTGGGGACCATAAAAGTAATTCTCTCTAGTCACTTCAACTGATAACTGCTGCACTTTAAAAATTGGTATCCTTCTCTTTTTGCCCATAATAGATATGTCTTTCATAAAATACGAGGGGATCTTTGAGGGAGGAAAAAAGGGTGAAAATAGATGTCATATGTTAAGAAGAACACTGATTCTGGGGAGATTTGGATTAAATATTTAAATATACATTTAAAAATCTGTTAATAAGTACTATGTACTTCAAACATTGGTTTTGTTTTGCCAGTGAATAAGTTAAATAAGTTTTTCATAATACAGAATAGCACATGAAAAATATAGCCATCATTCTTTTCTGTTTGTTTGGTTTTTTTTTTTTGAGTTGGAGTCTCACTCTGTCGCCCAGACTGGAGTGCAGTGGCCGCTCCTGGCCACCACAGCCTCGACCTGCTGGGCTCCGGCGATCCTTCCGCCTCAGCCTTCCGAGTAGCCGGAATTACAGGCATGCGCTACCACACCCAGCTGATTTTTTGATTTATTGCAGAGATGAGGTCTCGCTGCCCAGGCGGGTCTTGAACCCGCAGGCTCAGACAATCCACTCACTTCAGCCTCCCAAAGGCGCGGGATTACAGGCTGAGCCACCGAGTCCAGCTCTTTTCTTTTTAAAAATAACATATCCTAATATTAAACTTTAGGTTTTACCTCCACAAAAAGAGACTGTATACGTGATACAATTTATATGTTTATGTTACATAAATGTTTCTGATCTATCTTATAATATGTAACATATTCTAAATAATACTTAATTGTATTATAGAGAAAGGATCATGGGGCTTTTTGTGTGCATGCATACACCCTGTCTTTGATTATTCTAGAGGTATAGGCAGGAGTGCTACTGAAAGTATTTAAAAACTGGTAGAACAATGCAGCTGATTAATCAAAAGAGCCCCTTGTTACATATTCCTGGCATAGCTATACTGGGGCCCTGCTAGCAGAATATATACCTAGACTTACATGAAATTATAATATATTATATGATCAGAAGGATAAGGTGGGATTGCATCTAATATCCAAATTTTTAACCTTAGAAGTATTTATCTTTTTAAAAAAGATAGCCTAAAGTTTAAATTCTTTTCTTCCATTTCAAATATCTCTTTTTGGAAGGTATTAAAAAGTTTTTGCTGCTTGTAAGGTCTATATGAATGAAAACATTTTTCGATGTGTCTTTTGCTTGAAACTCTAAAAGCAAAAAATCTGAAATTAATTTCATATCTCTTGAATTACTGTCCTCTAAGATTAGTCTCAGAGAAGAGATGGGTGCATATTTGAAGACTTCCTTTGAACTAGAATATACCTCTAAAGTACCAAATCAATTTTCAGATCAATTCCATGTGGTCATACAAGATGGTCAAGGTACACCCTATAGTTCCTTTGTAGCATTGTCATGTCCCTGAACTACCTGAAAACAGATGTCAGTTCATGAAACTTTTTTTTTTTTTTTTTTTGCTGTCCAGATGGAAATAATAAAGCTTTACAAAGAAACCTTAAAATATTGTTTCAATGAATTTGGGTTTTCCTTAGGAAATGACCAAGAGTTTTAAACTACAGCTCATCAGAGCTGGCTGGAGTGAGGGGTGCCTCCGCCTCACAGCTTGAAGTGATAAAACGTCTGGCTCTGTGTCATAGAGGCAGGAAGTTGCTTCCTAGCCCTTCCTATCATGGATGTTTATGATGAGGAAAAAGAAACAAAATTCCCTGGGAGTAAAACATCAATTATCTTTCCCAATCTTGCTGAGTAACTCACCCTAAATGAAATATTCCACCAAGAGAAACACAAGTTATTGGGCTATGATAGCCGAGAAGAAGGAATGAGAGAAATGACATCGTGGAGTCACATGAAAGATTAAACAAGACAGTTAGGATAACAGGAGACAAGATATGCTTCCTAGCAACCATTCACATCAAAGAATGAGAATTGTTCTAGAAAAGGATGAGAGAGTAACTATCCCACTCTTCCACCTGTGAGGTACAGCAGATTTACCTTCTCTACACAGTGTTGATTGGATTTAAGGCAAAGGGATCTTAGGGAGTGGCAGAATTCATGTGGTACTAAGCCAATTGGTTAATTAATCAGAAAAAATACATAGCCTAATCAATATGGAACCTTACTATACACTATGGTAAAATAATATCCACATAGTTTAGAGTTTAATTATTACAAAATAAAACCATTTATAAAACTAAAAAAAAAAGGAAGAGAAATATTTATCTGCTCTCCGAATAGGGAAGGTCTTTCTAAAATATGATGCAACTGAAGATATGACAATGGAAAAGTCCAAAAATTTGATTAAGCAAATTTCAAGGCTTGCCTATTTCAAAAATTCCCATAAACAAACTTAAGTAATAACAAGTGTGAGAATAATGTTTCTAGATGGTGTCATCAATGGGTCAATGTTTCTTTAATCTATAAAGTCTTTATTCAATAAAAAGATAAATCACCCAATAAATAAAAAACTGCAATAAAACATTATAAAATGGAAAATACAATTGGCAAATAAACAAGTGAAGAAAGTACTGCTTTATCAGCAATCAGACAAATGGAAATGATAATAACCATTTTTAAGTTTTTACATTAGCAGAAAATTTAGTGATGGAAATAATGTTGATAATACTATAGCAAAATAACTCTGATACATTGCTGGTAAGATTACAAATTAGAGCAACCTTTCTGGAAAGAAATTTGAGCAGACATATTAGGAGGCCTTAAAAGTGTTAGAAATCTAAACATCAATTCTCCTTGTAAGTATCTATTTTAAAGAAACAATCAGAAATGTGAACAAAGCTTTATAATAAATGTTCACCTATAATATCAATCACAATTAAAAAACAGAAATAACATAAATGTCTACAAATTGGAAACAGATTAAGGAAATTGTAGTGTATTTAGATGGTGTAACCCACAGCAAGTAAAATTATGCTTATGAAGAGCATTTAATAATATGTTTATGTAATATTATGAAATATGAAATATGTTTGTCATATTTTAACTAAGTGAAACAGCAAGATATAAAATTGCATATACAATATGATTTAATTTTGTAATAAAAACATGCTAAGAAAACAAAAAAGATATTCTAAATTTGTAAATGTATAGACTATAAATGGTTTTGTACTGCTCTAATAGGTAGTTTTGTTATAGATAACCTCGTTAATGCTTCTCTTCTCATTTGTACATTCCAAACCTTTGAGTATTAGATATTAGAAAAACAGGGAAGCCCAAAAACAAACAAACAAAAAAAACCCCCAACAGAACAAGTTAAAAACAAATAAAAAGAAAACAGTCCAGACCTAGGAATTTACCTACAATCTCTTTTCTTGTATTAAGATTGGAAATATATCAAAATACTTTCCCAGAAATCATAATAATCTAATAATTATCATCAAATTTATCATCTAAATTTGATGATAATTTCACAATAAACACACTTTTCTGCCAATTCAACACATAAACAACATTTGCCTTATAGGATTAAATTTCAGGCGGTTCTATTTTACCCAAGTCTATTTTCTGTCACTGAAAATAATCCTTTTTAACTTCTAATCTCAATAAAGTATGTACTACTTTTTCTCAGACTGAGCTCTGTGATCAGTGGGGTTTTCTGTGGACAACTTAATTAGACATAAAAAGATATTCATCCACACACATCATGAACACACTGATGAGTGCAAATTTGCACCCACAAATAGAGTCTTTGCAGACATACTTGACTGCCAGCTATTTCCCTGACTGGATACTTCCAATACATAGGAATCAAAGCCAGCACTAAATTCTCTTCTTACAAAAGTGCCTCCTCTATTTGCTCAGTGACATAATGTTCCTTGTTTTATAACTGGGTATGTGATTTGAAATATGAACATTTATGTGATGACTCTAACAATGGCTGACAATTTTATCCGGGTTGTACTTAATGGACATGATGCTTCCCAGGAACAATTTTCAAAAAATGGAAGGGAAAACCAAACCAGTTGCTTCATCATTGTGAAAAACATTGATTCTTTTGGGTAGGAACTGACAGAAAATAGAGAGGAAAGATTGGTGCTGAAGCAATATACCCAGCATGTACCAGTTCGCCCTTGAAATATTATGCTAACAAATTATCCACAGGACAGAAAAAAATAAGCGTCATCTCAAAATACCTGACATACTGAAATCCTAGAAAAATTGTTGTAAATCTCAGAATTTTTGATTTTCAGACAAATTAGAGATGATTTGAGTCCATCTGTTTTCAGAAAAAGAAACTAATTCCTAAAACATTAAGTACTTAACACCTCACAATTAGTTAACTCAGTTTCATTGTCATAATAAGACTACTTTTTGAATGATACAGACACAATTTTTAAAAAATATTCTTGAAAATAAACTGGTACATACCACTGAGTGGACTTGGTCATAGGTACTTTGAATTTTCCCATTGACTTTTTTACCTGACAAAACAAGGGGGAAAATGACATTTTTCCATTATTCCTGTCCTTAAGTTAATGCTATCTAATTATTATGAAGACAACAGCTTGTGCTCTAACTTGGGCATAATATTTTAATTTCTATCATTTCAAACACTGATTTCAATGCAGTTTTAATGAATGGACAACTGGAAGAAAACAAAGGGAAGTGTTTTTATGTCCACATCTACGGTCTCAGTTTCCATCCTGAATATTTGTATATAGTATTGACTTTCGGCTCAGTTGATATTCATATGTCAGGGACTAATTTAAAAATACTGCAATGATCAGTGACTTATCAACAGAGGCATCAAATATTCATTTATTGCTTATTTTAAAAACTGTTTATAAGAAAGATTATGAAATATCAGCACTCAAATTCTGTTCTCTTTTGTGTTTTCTTAAATACTAGAGCATGGAATTAACTTATCTTATATCACACCATGAATAAAATAATTAAAAATTAGATAGTTATGAAAAAAATTACAAAACGTACTGAAATAAACAGTTACAGGTACTTACTTCCAACAATAGTCTTGTGATTGAAAATCTTACTCCAAATTCCACCTTCCACATTGTCTTTCACTCCAAATTCATAAACGGTGTTTGGTTTGAGATTTTCTACAATTGTTTCTGTAGCTGGACAGATTTGAAAAATCCATTTCTTTTCCTTATCCTTTTCTCTATAACGAATTGTATAAAATCTGTGGAATTAGCAAAAGATAATGCCTTAAAAGCACAAGGAGATTCAGAATGTTACTTCAAGTTTCTTAACACATCACAGACTTCAGTCTACTTGGAAGACTATGATTAATACTGGTTTCTGTTCAGATTTTTTTAAATGTGCAAAGAACATAAAAAAATAGCTCAATGTGTGCTTAGGTTTTTAATTTCTCCTTGCAAGCTGGCATCTGTACAATTATGGGCCAACAGAATGCCAGAATTATCATTCTATTATTTTCTGCTTTGCAAAATTAAAGCTAGGAAACACTAGATACTCATTGTTTTCCAATTATACATAGAGCAGAACATAGATGCCATTTTATAAGTACTTAACATTGTAGTTTCATAATTTAAGACTTTTCATTCCACGGAAGGAGTATTAGGGGTAAAATCATTCAATTTTGCAAAAATAATAATAATAACCTGAGGTTCTAAGGTAAATTCAGTACTGTATTTCAAAGGCAAAGTATTCTATTGTTATAAAAATGTATCAAGACCAATAGCCAAGCTAAGAATACAACGAGGACATAGTAACACAAATTCAATATCTTATTCAATATCATATGTTGACATATAGAGTTCCATAATACTAAGATTTATATGTCAGGGTAAGATAATCCCCTAACTCCACCCCCTCACCGCCCCCACACACACAACTTTTTTTTGTACCTTTACAACATGCTAGGTTTTACATATACTATCTCATTGAATTGTCACAAAAACATCTTAAGTGGTAGAAATTATTAATCTCATTTTACAAATGTGAAAACTGAGTCTCAGAGCACTCACTTAACTTCCCCAATATCTACCCATCTAGTGACGTGTTTCAGTGGCAGAACCAGAATACAAAGAGACTCCTCTGGCTTTATTTTAAACTGCCTCAGTAAGTGCAGCAGCAGATCAAGAACGGTGGTTTCATTACAACTATAGAGAGTCAGAAGAATGAATGAACTAGAGCTAAATGTATCTATGTGAACAGATTTCAGAAACAGAATACTGAATGAAAACAAATTACAGAAAGATGCATAGTTTCATATCATTTACACAAAGAGTAAGACATATAAAATATGTTACCATACATTATTCCTGACATTGAAAAGGAATAAGAAATCCTAAAGGATACAACATTTACCCTTCTCAATGAGCAAGTGAAGGGAAGGGTAGGATGGTGCTTTGACTCCTAAAGAGCAGGTGAAGAGATAAAGCAGATTAGAAGTGGGGTCAACAGAAAAGCTTTCTGCTTTATTTTTATATGTTTTCTGCTTTATTTTTAAATACACATTTTAAGTAAACAGAATAAAATAGTGGCTGGCATGTTATGATGATGGAAACATAAGCCTTTGCTATATTAATTTAGGTTCTTTCATCTTAAATTTTTCTCAGAAATTTTGTACAACTCTCACACTCCTCATACCTGCAGAATTAAACAGACTAAGATTCAGACTAATTGCTTTCATTTAAAACTCGAAAAAGTCATGCATTCAAGCATGCTGAAAATATTTCTTAGGCACTCTTGAAATGCCAGGCCCACATTCTGGGTGATACGAAAACTATTACCCAGAATTTCTAGGAATGAGGACTAGGACAGGCTACTTAACTTGTGGGACTCAACAAAAAATGAAAATGAACACAGTTCAAAAATTATTAAGAATTGTAAGACAATAACAGCAGAACATTTAAACCAAGCTTTGGCCTTTCTGAAAGGGGACCTGGTGCTACATATAGGTAGCACGCCCATGAAATCAGTAAAGGGTTTATAGTTTAATAAATACAGAGAGACACAATGCATTGGTATATTCAACCTACTTTCTTATTAAGTACAGACTATGGAAAGACTTGTTTCTTTCTAGTCAAAGTTGCTTTCAGGCCTCAAATCCCCCATTCCAAAGTAGCAGAAGACAGAATGAGTGAAGGAGGCTGTTCCAGCCAAAACATTAGCTGCTATCAGAGACAAATGTTATAGAATTTTAATAGAATATAATAGATGTCCCTTGTGTCCTGTGAGTCAATATATCAACAGTGATTTGTGAAGTACATTTCTTGACAAGTATGTTGCATGGCATTTTTGTTTTGTTTTGTTTTGTTTTGTTTTGTTTAATCCCTTGCCCTGGCTTTTACAGGACCTTAGAGAAAAGCTGAGAAGCTAAAATCAGACCAGATGGGCTTCCACAATTATGCATCTCGTACAGATACATTTCTGAGGACATAATAGCTCCTATAATGCAGAAGCTTCCATCACTAACAGAGCTTCCAAAGGCCAGATTCAAGGTTTTTCAATCAACTTAATTTCACATCTTTTTTTTTTTTTGAGTTGGAATCTCACTCTGTCACCCAGACTGGAGTGCAGTGGCTGCTCCTAGCCACTACAGCCTCCACCTGCTGGGCTCTGGCAATTCTTCTGCCTCAGTCTTCCAAGTAGCTAGAACTACAGGCGTGCGCTACCATGTCCGTCTAATTTTTGATTTATTGTAGAGATGAGGTCTCACCAAGTTGCCCAGGTGGGTCTCGAACCCGTGGGCTCAGGCAATACACTCACCTTGGCCTCCCAAAACGCTGGGATTACAGGCTGAGGCACCGAGCTCGGCCTCACATCATCTTTTTATGAATAAAATGCTGTAGAAATGTTCTGTTCTTAAAAAAAAATTAATCACATGCTTTTTCAAAAAAATCCATCTTGTAAACTTTTTCTATTTTGATCATAAAGCATTTGAAATATCCTCTCTTATACTGTTTGTCAGGAAAAATAAATATTTAGCTAATTCTTCTCTTCTGCTTAGTCAAATAAGTTTACCTTTGTCAAACATTGTTTCTGTTGATAATTGTATAATTCAGGCAAGTTCTAATTTTATTTTATTTTGTATGACACTATCATATTTTTTCTTAAAGGAGAAAGCAAATGAGACCACTTAGCTATATCAGAAATGGCAAAATAAATTTTTCTTGTTTTTCCCCTGCACTGCCTTGGTTTTAAACCAAAATATAAACCTTATGATAGTGATTTATAACCTACCATACTGTAGGTGCTCCACAAATATCTGTGGAATAAACAGAATGAATACATGGGTGCCCATAGGATTATTCAAAAATTAGAACATTATTTCTCTAAATGACCTATGATTCAATCACCAAAAATACTCATTTAAGTCATTGAGTCTACAATTATATTTTGCAATGTGTCACTGCATAAGGCAGGGGTCCCCAACCCCCAGGTCACAGACCAGTATCAGTCCAGTACTGGTCTGTGGCCTGTTTGGAGATGGGCTGCACAGCAGTTGAGTGGTAGGCAAGGAGTGGGCAAGCAAGCAAAGCTTCATCTGTATTTACAGCCACTCCCCATCACTTGCATCACTGCCTGAGCTCCACCTCCTGTCAGATCAGCACCGAAAAGGCTATTTCTATTTCTAGCAGAATTTTCTTTGTGAGGCAGAATTTTCTGCAGTGATAGCAACCAAAACGAGATTATGGAGACTGGACATAAGCAACACATTTTGTGAGTCACTGTCCCCACATTCCCCTGTCTAGTTACAGGAAAACAAGCTTAGGGCTCCCACTGATTCTGTATTATCGCAAGTTGTATGATTATTTCATTATATATTACAATGTAATAATAATAGAAATAAAGTACACAACAAATGTAAGGGTGCTTGAATCATCCTGGAACCAGCCCCCCGCCCACAGACAACCTGGTTCATGGAAAAACTGTCTTCCACAAAACTGTTCCCTGATGCAAAATAGGTTGGGGACCGCTGGCATAAGGGTTTCACTTACCAAAATTCACTGTCCTAGAACCAGTGCAAACTGAAGCAAAATACCATAAATGACTACACTGTACATTTGCAGAGGGCTTAAGATTTTTATTTGTTTATTTCAGTTTATCTATACAATAAACTGGCCAGAGCAAGAATTAGAGAAGAAAAAGAGAGGCCAAGAAATGCCTAAGCTCTGATAATGAGTGACAGAGCCAGGCGAATATGGTTTTCTGGTTCCTTGTCTACTACTTTTTGTGCTGCTCTGGACTCTCTTTTCTACTGTGGTGCTTGGCAAAAAAAGATAGGAAGGCACAGACAAAATGATCCAGAGTGGAAGAGAAGTAAATGGAATCAACACTTAGTATTATTTGAGGTTTTTTATTTTTTGTTTTTTTGTGTATTTATCACATAGTCACGGTCTCCTTGGTATTGTCTGAGGACATCCAGGATCAAATGTTGGTTGCACCATTCTCTGTGGAATGATGAAATTTGGACACAAGTGCACAGAGAGGCAACACGACTATTATAAATGCAGGTCTCAGCCTGCGAATGTCATCAGACTGGACCTCTGGAAAGCCTGCCTCCAGCAATCTAGATTTTAAGAACAAGAGAAGAGTATCCCCCATCCTAATTAAGGGGTAAGAAACTGTTGAAGGTAGTGGTTGGTTCAACTGGCATTATTCTGTGCTTGAACTTCCTGAATAGTCTAAATTCTAACAATAATGGATATTATAATTCTAAAAAAAATCTATAGCTCCTCAAAATATAGTGGAAAGTCAAGTAGTAGCTTGACTTGAGATTCTAGTCAACTGCAAACTAGCAGTGTGACCTTGAAGGAGTCTCTTACGCATAAATCTTTCAGGGGGCAACTGGACTAGACAATCTTTGAGATCGTCTCTGTTTCTAGGAATTTATTCCAGCAACATGTCAGACATTCTAATAAAGTGCCTGAGACAGAGGTAGGAACCCCATAAACTTAGTTAGGACATAATTGGCAGTGAATTACACCAAGTGGAGAAATGAAAGAACACAAAATAAATTTAGTCCTTCTAACCAACCAAACTGGTTTAACATATGTGGTTGATTATCTTTTGGGTTTTCTATACATTTTTTTCAGGAATGTGATTAACTAATAACTACTATTACATTTCCTAAGACATCTATTTCATGCATTTTTCATTTTTTTACTCTCTCCATGTCAAGGAGCACTTCCTGACACTTTCTTTTTCAAT